GTCGAGGCTGCAGTGGCCAGGAGCGGCCACTGCACTCCAGTCTGGGCGACAGAATGAGACTCCAACTCAAAATAAATAAAATAAAATTACTTCTCTGTCTTACAAATTATTGGAGAGAAAAAGTAACCAAGCAAAGCAAGACAAACTATTTACCAGACGGAAAAAAATGGTAACATTAATAATCATAAAATAGCTGGGCTCGGTGGCTCTGTCTATAATCCCACGCCTTTGGGAGGCTGAGGTGAGTGGATTGCCTGAGCCCGCGGGTTCGAGACCCGCCTGGGCAGCGAGACCTCGTCTCTACAATAAATCAAAAAACCAGCTGGGCGTGGTAGCGCATGCCTGTAATTCCTGCTACTTGGAAGGCTGAGGTGGAAGGATCGCCGGAGCCCAGCAAGGTGAGGCTGCAGTGGCCATTAGCAGCCACTGCACTCCAGTCTGGGCGACAGAGTGAGACTCCAACTCAAAAAAAAAAAAAATCATAAAATAGAAAATACAAAAATGGGAAAAACCTAAATGTTACAACAATGAATGTACTCAAAATAAATGCTTCTATTAAAAGAAAAAGAGGCCAGGCATGATGGCTTAAAACTGTAATCCCAGCACTTTGGGAGGTGGAGGCCAAGAATTGCCTGAGCCCAGGGTTTGAAATTAGCCTGGGCAACTTGGTGAGACTCATCTCTACAATAAATCAAAAATTAAGCCGGGCTCTGTGGCTCAGCCTGTAATCCCGCGCCTTTGGGAGGCTGAGGTGAGTGGATTGCCTGAGCCCGCGGGTTCAAGACCCATCTGGGCAACTTGGTGAGACATTATCTCTACAATAAATCAAAAAATCAGCCGGGCGTGGTAGAGCGTGTCTGTAATTCTGGCTACTCAGAAGGCTGAGGCGGAAGGATTGCCGGAGCCCAGCAGGTCGAGGCTGCGGTGGCCAGGAGCGGCCACTACACTCCAGTCTGGTTGACAGAGTGAGACTCCAACTCAAAAACAAACAAACAAACAAACAAAAAAATTAGCCGGGTGTGGTAGCGCCCACCTATGGTTCCAGCTACTTGGAAGCTGAGGCAGAAGGATCACCGGAGCCCAGCAGGTCGAGGCGCACTCCAGTCTGGGCGACAGAGTGAGACTCCAACTCATAA